TAACTATTATTTTTTGTTTAAATGATTTCATAAACTATAATATATACATATATATAATTTTTTGAGTACCTACTTCTGAATACAATATAAGCACATTCTTTCTTTTGTAAAAACAAATATTTATAAAATTATACGTAAAAGCCTAAGAAATGCTGGACAATTACCACGCAAAAAGCCAAACTATGCTCAAAAAAAATATATGACAAAGAATTAGCCAATACATTGTTGTAGTCACAGGTTGGAAAATATAAGTACTGTAAACTGTAACAAAATTAGACACTGTACTGAGTTCAAGCCATGACAGATGTGCTTAAAATAAGTGGAAAGTAACTGTAGTTAAAGAAATTAATATTTGTAGTGGTTGATAAATTAAGCATAAGCAAATTTTAAGAATTTAGCGAAAACTAAATAAGTATTTAATCTCATCCTAACTATAGAAAAAGAGTTTATAATGTGTATTTATTAAACTGTAAATATTAAAAAAAAATAGCAAAGATAATTAAAATTCATGCATAATTATGTAAGTAAAAAATACTTATATATATAAGGCACAACAACAATGATTATGGTTAAGCGTGTAAACTGAGACTAAGTATTAGTGAAGAAAAATTAGTACTATTGTAAACAAAGAAGGAAAACGAAAGTAACTGTAACAATAAATACTAGGTAACGTTTTTTGTATAATTTCTGAAATATTAAACAGAAAAATAAAATAAAAACTTTGACTTTTTATGTTACAAAATTTTATTTGGCGGAACTTCAAGGTAAATATTTCAAATACAAATTTGCTCAAATACTCTTCTATATATATACACATATGTATGTATGTAGTGTGTGCATGTCTTTATGTAAGTATAAACAGTTACAATCCGCAATCGCTGTCATCTATCAAAGTCCACGCTGTTGGATGAAGAAAAAATATTATTTGAAAGAATTTATGATATGAAAATTATAATGAAAGGTCATGAATTTTAAAAATTTTTAGAAGATTTAACTTGAATTCAAATTAACAAATCTTCAAGCCTTTCGAATTTTTACCACTTTAGTCAAAATCTCATGCATCCATCACTTGTCCCTCTACTCACCATCAACTGCGAGACAGTTCTCAACTTCCAAAATGCAGCTATTGCCGAAAATCTCCTTAGTTTTACCGTTAGAAGCGCAAATTGGTTCATAAATAAATGGGCAAGGACGTAAGCACTGCTCACGCACCAAAGGATCGACATGCTTGAGGCAAAGCGACAACGACGTAATGCGCCAGCCTATAATAAGAAAAAAATATTCCCCAAAAATCAAAATTTTAAAAATAAAAATTATTAAATAATTTCAAATCACGCTCACCTGTGCCGGTGCTGCAACTCGCATATCGCCGTAAGCAGTCGTTATGGAAGTAACGGTACACGACGCCTTCGCCCACTGCACCTGCCGCTGTTGCAGCACTTTCGTCACCGGAAACCGCACAAACAGGATCCAAATGTTTCGGGCAAGCATTCGTGCAGCTCGCACTTGTATTGACTTTGCTGGCTTTTGCTAAGGAAAGCGTAATCATTAGTATTACCGTTACAGGGAATTTCATATTTTTGCTTTGTAATGTGGCTCTGTTAAGTTTGAACTGTGTTTTTAGTTAGTTGATAGCGATATTTTATACAAAATCTTGCGTTCTATCAAACAATTAAGCCATCACAACAATTATCTGTTGTTAAGCGAGCTTTTAACAGTAATATAGTATATTTGATATTTACTTAGCACTACATGCAGTTAACGTAGTCTTATCGGTTACCCCAATTGCTTGCTTAACCTTGGCACTGAAGTTGATGCCGAACGAAGCTGGCCAGTAGTTAAGTGGTGGCCTCACTGACTTTTTGTTTTTATATTTTGATAAGCCGAGAGCTTTGCAAATACGAATATGCTCAGATATTTTCAAAACTAAGAGCAATTACGTTTATTTTCAGGTCATTGTTCTACAGTTTGATTTTAATATTGATTAGCCCGTTACATGGTCGAACAGT